AATCGGGCCTTTAGGCTTCGAAGCTTGCTCAGGCGTGCCCATCCGCACCAGCAAGCGCTCGTGACGAGCAATTTCCGGACTCATGTCGCCGCCGCCCTCCTCCAGCGCTATCTGCTGCAACACTCGCTGCAACTCTTCCTCGGCATCAGTGGGGAGACCAGCCACGTAGGAAGCCGGCGTCTCCACAGGAGGGGAAGCGCCAAGAGCGACTGTGCTCGGAAGGGTCTGCAAAGACGATTTCGTCCTGTAGCGCCAGCAAGGATCCTTATGGACCTGAGCATCCTCTTGGGAATCCAATACCACAGCGCCGACGCCACAACCATCGTCATCGGCACCCTTGGCCACGGAACTCGCCTTGGAGCTCTTAGGCTCGCTCGAGCACGAGTCCTCCGCCTCGTCCGGATTCCTGGCACCATCGTCTGTCTCATACCCTTCCGAGTTCTCTTCCACCACTTCATCATCCTCCTCCGCTTCCTCTTCTCCTCCCTCGTCATCGTCATCGCCATCGTCACCATCTGTGTCAGCCTGCTCGTCCCGAAGACTTTGGATGCTTGCAAAAAGCTCCCGGACTTCCTTGGCCTCGGAAGTGGAAACCCCAAACAAATTTTAACTCACCTTGAAGGAATCCAGAAACACAACCGGCTTGGGCTTAATCTTAATTGATCATAAGAAGCTCGTGGCTTCTGGCCGCGCTTCTTCGAATCCTTCTGGCGTCTCAGTGCGAAGCTAAGAAGCCTCCTGAGATCCCAAGCATCACAATAGTATTGGCGGGCTCCCGTCGCCGGAACACAACTCATCTTCTCGTAGAGATTCTTCACCTCATCTAGCTTTATTATTCGGTTTATCCTTTATATAAGATTTCTTATGGATTCCATCAAACGACTGGGCCCAAATACCTGCTTCGATATTCACGGGCAAGTAGCGGCACTTTCCAGCTTCGTAATGGGGACCTTCTTACCACTCAAGACCTTGTAATGCGCTACCATCACCCGAAGAGCCGTGCAGTTCATCTCCATGGCCTTGGTGGATATAGGATTCTCCGCCTTATCTGCATCATCCCTCTCCGCAGCAGGCGGGAAATCCAGCAAGCCCTTCTTGACTCGGAACCGCTTCCTAATCAACTTCTCCTTCTCAAAGGCTTTCGCCAACATTTTGGCGGTTGCCATGGCCCCTACTGAACCACTGCAAAACCTCACAGTCCTTGATCAAGACCTGGCGAGATTCCCGAAAAGTTTCTCCTGAAAGCTCTAAATTATGCAATGCAACCCATCAGAGCATAAGCCCTGCAGCTCGGCATGCACAAGCGAGCAAGGCGGCACCGGCAAAGTATATGGCAAAAAGCCATGCATCATCTGCCGCCACATCCTGCAAGTTGTGCATCTTTTCAGGAACATGTATGTATGTGTGTGTGTGGTAAGGATATAGACATGCAAGGGTCTAAGGGTCTGCAAATCTCTTGCGCACCTCTAGCTGCAATAGTAAATAAATGTGTATGTGTATATATATATATATGTACATGACATGTCTTATACCATTGATGTACACATACATACTCTATGTACTGATTATATCGGTATACTGGACTGGACGCTGAACTGATCGGTCCTCTAAGGTAAAGCTCCGTCCATCGAGCCATCGCCATGTGGCAAAAAGCGTGATGACGCACGGGGGTTTTCTCTCTTAATGTATATGGGGTTCATATAGTCATTTAATCTACGTAATCTCGCAAAGCCCATGCAGCCTACTATCTGCTGCCCTCGGATCCTTGTCGGATCCTTGTAAGGCCACGATATCCCATCAGATCTGAAACCCAACTTATTACAATATGTTCGATATCCCATCTATATCTGAACTCCAGCTTAATCAATCCAAGATTGTCCCAAGCCCTCGACTAAATTGCATGCAAACTGCTGAACTGGGCTCTGATCCACCATGGCTTGCTGCCTGGCGGGCCACAGCATGAGAAATCCTGCGTGTTTCGGTTCGCCTGGGAGCTTCGGGTACAGGATAGCAGGGTTTAAGGGTCTGCATTTTATGACTGATCCGGTACGGGCGAGGTCTTTTGAAATCCTCAAAGTACATAATGATGAACTTTGCCACTGTGATGCTTTTTAGT